TGAATGATTATTACTAGCATATTTTTGCTATTGGTGTATATATTGGCTACAAGAATACCATATAATCACATCACATCTACTAGCAGCTTAGAAACCTAGCATTCAATTATATAACGCTCGTATAAAAACACGTATATTAATAATTATAATCTAAACCCACAAAAAACGTTCTAATACATATCAATCGTTTCAATCGTTTTTTTAACAACATTTATGAAAAACCAAAAGTAAGCAAGATATGTTTTATTTTTATATTTATTTTTATAAATATTTAATATGCAAAATTATGAGAAAAGTAAATATAGACATGTATTTATACTCTAAGTAAAGTGGTAAATAGCATTTAGCTTAATTAAGTTGTAATGATAAATAGATACTCTAAGTATTGCTGCAACAGCGTTTTTAAGGCTTATTCGTAATTAATATTAATATCAAATACAACCTCTCAAGTTCATTTCTATTAGACTTCAATATGTCAGCAGTCAGTTTGTCGTTTGTCATCGAACTGTGAAGTGAAAATGGCTTTATTGGAAGTCCTTGTGTGCTTTATTTGTGGCAGTGTTTTGCTAATTTACTGGACCCTAAGCAAGCGATTTTCTTATTTTAGGAACCGTGGAATACTGCACGATAAGCCAAGCTTCATTTTTGGAAATGTAAAGGAATATAGGCGCACCAAAAATATATATCAAATTCTTCAGGAATACTACGCGAAATACAAGAACACAGAAAAAATTGTTGGATTTTTTTTGTATTTTCGAAAAGTGGTAATATTACTTGATTTAGATCTCATAAAAGATATTTGCGTGAAGGATTTTGGAAATTTTACGAATCGTGGAAATTATTATAATAAAAAGGATGATCCAGTTGCAGCACATCTATTCAATTTGGATGGAGTAGACTGGAGAAAAATGCGTACAAAACTAACGCCAACGTTTTCATCTGGAAAAATAAAGTCTACGTTTCCCATTATAGTCGATGTTGCGAACACTTTAGTTGAGGTATTAGAAGATATGCAAAATTCACCTCTGTACGATACTGATGTGGGTATGGAAATTGAAGATCTTATCTCACATTATACAACTGATACTATTGGAAGTGCTGCTTTTGGTTTGGACTGCGGGAGTTTAAGAGACCCCAATAGCAAATTCAGTGATATAAGTAAAACAATATTAGATTTTCGTCATAACATAATTATTGTGTCACTTGCTAATATCTTTCCAAAAGTGGCTCGGATATTACGAATAAAAATACTACCAGAAAAAGTATCGAAGTTTTTCTTGAATTTTGTGCGTCAAACTGTGACGTTTCGTGAACAAACCGGTACGCAAAGAAATGATTTTCTTAATTTATTAATGGAGTTACGAAAATCGGGTGATTTAACTATGGAAGAAATAACTGCACAGGTTTATATTTTTTTTGTAGCCGGTTACGATACAAGTTCAAGTACATTAACTTTTTGTTTGTATGAGTTGGCACTTAATCAAGATATTCAAAATAAAGCCAGATCAGAAATAAATGAAGTTCTCTCTGCACACAAAGGTATATTAACGTATGAAGCAATGATAGATATGAAATATTTGCTACAGATAATGTATGGTGAGTATCAGCAAAAATTATATACATCAAAAACAAAAATTACAAATAAAATATTTTATTTTGTATATCTATTAACTAATATTTAAATAGAAACAATGCGAAAATACGTAGTGACAGCATTCCTTTTACGACAAACTGCCGAGGACTATTTCGTACCTAATACTGATTACGTTATAGAAAAAGGCATGACGGTACTTTTACCAGTTGATGCAATACATCATGATCCAGATTTATATCCAAATCCAAAACTCTTCGATCCTGAACGGTTTACAGCAGCTGAAATCGAAAAACGGCATCCAATGGCTTATTTAGCTTTCGGAAGGGGACCACGTAATTGTATCGGTTCCAGATTTGGTAAAATGGAAGTTTTGGTGGGATTGTGTTTGTTACTTAAAAACTTTAAGTTTTCGGCTACAAAGAAAACCCAAATACCTATAAAATCATCAATGTTTAAATTATTACGCGCTTCTGAAGAAGGAGTGTATTTAAAAGTTGAAAAATTGTAACCAAATTCAAAAAATTTCGGCATTTACGTAGAAAATACTTGGTATATATGACACATTAATTTTAATATAAAGCAATAAACGGTTGAGTACATAACTTTCACAGATTTTGTTACACCTGGTATTTTGTTTTTATGCAGACTAGTGAACAATTTTTAAATTCTTTTGTTCGTGTTAATAAAAACAAAGATAGCCTAGTGGATAATATATATAACAAATATCTAAAAAGGACAATGGAAGAAATAAGTCCTAAAACTTAATGCAAATTTTTAGTTAAACGCAGTCTTTACTTTCAGAATACCACATTATTTCTTACCTTATTTTTAATAAAAGTGACGGATAGTTGTTCCCACATTTTTTGATAGGATTAAATGTTTTCACGACAAATATATATTAGAAGAAAAGAAAAGAAATTAAACATAAATTAATACAGTTTTCAAACTAAAATTTTTTACAAAGAAATCATATGATTCTCACTAATCCTAGAAGAGGACAGTGTACAATATATACAACATAAGATTATCATAGGGCTTAATTTTACACGATTCGTCATCGAATTGTGAAGTGAAAATGGCTGTATTGGAAGTCCTTGTGTGCTTTATTTATGTCAGTATTTTGCTAATTTACTCGACCCTAAGCAAGCGATTTTCTTATTTTAGGAAACGTGGAATACTGCACGATAAGCCAAACTTCATTTTTGGCAATGTGAACGAAAAGTATTTACTTATATAAAACTAATGCTAACAAATATGCTTCAAGATAATTAAACGATTTTTATATGAGTGACACACGAAATACGAGGGATCTGTTAAAAGTTTTAAGCACAAAAGTATTTGTTAAGTTTGATGAGTAATGCTAAAAATAAAACTCTGTAAATAATATTTTATTTGTTAAAATTATGTGTAATAATATTTTTCATCAATTGACGTTATGATTAAATTTTTATTTGTTATCAAAAAATAACAAATAAAATTAATTAATCGTAATTAAATTAATTACGATTAATTCACCTAAACAGTATAATCACTCTTGAAAAGAGTATAGGACATCATCATACGCTAAAGAATTGAAGGGAAAGAAGATTGATATGAAACGTGGTTATTCACCTATTATTCACCTAAACAGTATAATCAGTCTCGAAAAGAGTATAGGACATCATCATACGTTAAAGAATTGAAGGGAAAGAAGATTGATATGAAACGTTGATATATAAGTTTAGTTACTGAAAAGCATTCTGTATCGATAAAACCTATTTAGTTTAAATATTGTACCAAATTTAACAGAAATTTATGCAATAGACAAAAAATCTTAAATGCAGTTTTGAAATGAAAAGCTGATGAAATAAATTATAAATTAACGAAAAATATATTCTATTATAGTAAAAACCTAAAAGCACTATAGACAAGCAACATCATCAGTTAGATCTTTCTAAAGCAAATATAAACTGACAGTTATTTTACTTTTATCTAAAAAAATATGAAAAAAGTACATATAAACATCTATTTATACTCTAAGTAAAAGCGATAATTAGACTTTAGCTTGAGTAGTAAAGACCAATAGTTACGCTAACTATATCTGCAACGCCCCTTTGAAGCTTATTCGTAATTAATATTAATATCAAATACAACCTCTCAAGTTCATTTCTATTAGACCTCAATGTGTCAGCAGTCAGTTTGTCGTTTGTCATCGAACTGTAAAGTGAAAATGGCTTTATTGGAAGTCCTTGTGTGCTTTATTTGTGGCAGTGTTTTGCTAATTTACTGGACCCTAAGCAAGCGATTTTCTTATTTTAGGAAACGTGGAATACTGCACGATAAACCAAACTTCATTTTTGGCAATGTGAAGGAAAATAAACGCACCAAAAATATGTATGACATTCTTCAAGAAATCTACGCGAAATACAAGAGAACTGAAAAAATTATTGGATTTTTTATATATTTTCAAAAAGTGGTAATATTACTTGATTTAGATCTCATAAAAGATATATGCGTGAAGGATTTTGGAAATTTTACGAATCGTGGAAATTATTATAATAAAAAGGATGATCCAGTGTCAGCACATTTAATAAATTTGGATGGAGTAGACTGGAGAAAACTGCGTACAAAACTGACGCCAACGTTTTCATCTGGAAAAATAAAGTCTACGTTTCCCATTATAGTCGATGTTGCGAACACTTTAGTTGAGGTATTAGAAGATATGCAAAATTCCCCTCTGTACGATACCGATGTGGGTATAGAAATTGAAGATCTTATCTCACATTATACAACTGATGTTATCGGAAGTGTTGCTTTTGGTTTGGACTGTGGAAGTTTAAAAGATCCCAATAGCAAATTCAGTGATATAAGTAAAACAATATTAGATTATCGCCATAACATAATTATTATGCTACTTGCGAATTTCTTTCCAAAAGTGGCTCGGATATTACGAATAAAAATACTACCAGAAGAAGTATCGAAGTTTTTCTTGAATGTTGTGCGTCAAACTGTGACGTTTCGTGAACAAACCGGTACGCAAAGAAATGATTTTCTTAATTTATTAATGGAGTTACGAAAATCGGGTGATTTAACTATGGAAGAAATAACTGCACAAGCTTATGTTTTTTTTGTGGCTGGCCACGATACAAGTGCAAGTACATTAACTTTTTGTTTGTATGAGTTGGCACTTAATCAAGATATTCAAAATAAAGCCAGATCAGAAATAAATGAAGTTCTCTCTGCACACCAAGGTATATTAACGTATGAAGCAATGATAGATATGAAATATTTGCTACAGATAATGTATGGTGAGTATCAGCAAAAATTATATATATCAAAAACAAAAATTTCAAATAAAATATTTTATTTTGTATATCTATTAACTAATATTTAAATAGAAACAATGCGAAAATACGTAGTGACAGCAGTACTTACGCGGCAAACTGCCGAGGACTATTTCGTACCTAATACTAATTACGTTATAGAAAAAGGCATGATAGTACTTTTACCAGTTGATGCAATACATCATGATCCAGATATATATCCAAATCCAAAACTCTTCGACCCTGAACGGTTTACAGCAGCTGAAATCGAAAAACGGCATCCAATGGCTTATTTTGCTTTCGGAAAGGGACCACGCAATTGTATAGGTTCCAGATTTGGTAAAATGGAAGTTTTGGTGGGACTGTGTTTGTTACTTAAAAACTTTAAGTTTTCACCTACAAAGAAAACCCAAATTCCTATAAAATCATCAATGTTTAAATTATTACGCGCTTCTGAAGAAGGAGTGTATTTAAAAGTTGAAAAATTGTAACAAATTCAAGAAGAAATCATCATTTACGTAAAAAATATTTGATATTATGACGAACTAAGTTAAATATAAAGCAATAAACAGTGGAGTACAGAACCCTCAATGATTTTCTTTGCTTAAGTAAAAGTTGGAAATATTTTACTTTAAATCTTGTATTTAGTTTTTTATATGTAAATTAGTAAACAATTTTATAATTCTTTTTTATATATTAATAAAAATAGTAAATTTAGTAGATAATGTGTATTATAAAAATCTTAAAAAGGGAATGGAGGAAATAAATACATAATCTTATTGCAAATTTTCAGTTCAACGCAGTTTTTAATTTCAAAATACCGCATGAATATTTACCTCAAATAAATAACAGTAATAGGATACTCCTCCCACAAGCGCTAAGTACATATCTGAACTTCCTGATTTATTTCTTCTTTTAAGGAGAGATTAAACGTAAATTAATACAGTTTTTAAACCAACATTTTTCACAAAGAAATCATATGATTCTCGCTAATCCTAAAAGAGGACAGTGGACAGAGGACAGTGGACAATGAACAGTGTACAATATATACAACATACGATTACCAGCGGGCTTGATTTTTCACGATTAGATAGTGTGTCAAATTGTGGATTCCTTTAAGTAAGTATAAATATTACCAAAGTTATAGTAATATAGATTGCGAACGATTTAGAATCAAACCGAGTACTGATTCGATGAAAGCGTTAGAGAGATAAACTGTTTCCAAAATAAGAAAAATCTCGTTTATTTTACGAGGAGCGCGAAAGCTTTTTTCATTGGTTTTTAGATAAAACTTCAAGCTTCCGTGAATTCGAAACATCATTCAGTTCGAATAAGTTAACAAAAAAAACGGTAATGTCTTGTAAATCTATAAGCCGAGTAGAAATTTATAACTCTCTTGATTGGGCTTGATTTTATGTATGTTCTACAGATGTTCTAAACATCTGTGTCTAAATATATGTTCTAAACACACAAGGTTAACGATTCTATATCTCCGTGTAATAATTGATTGAGTGTCCATGTTTCTTGAAGGTGTGTAGATTCCACAATTAAAGAGTGTAGCTTAGACCAGTTAAAGATTTAAAACAAAAAGATGTATGTGATTAAATTAAACTTATTTTCTTCTTTTCATTAAATTTGTGTCGAATTTTCTCTATATCATACAAATGATAAAAATTCGAAATATTTTTATTCCGCAAAATTATTCAAAATGATGTTGTGGTGAATAATTTACTGTAATAAACACTTTGCTAAGCGTGCGTTTAAGATAAAAAGTATCTACAATAAATAACAGATGCGAGGCTTAACAAAAGCGTTCCCTACACATTACATTGAAGAATGATTCAACCAGTGAAGTACATGTGAGTATAGAACAGTAGAAGACGCTGATAAAGTCATGAACTGTGAAGTGTGTTGCTGCCCCAGTTTGTTGCACTTATATTAACCGCAGATAATGTAGTCAACACGATGGCATATATAAATAAAAGCGGAAAGTATTTACTTATATGGGACTAATGCTAACAAATATGCTGCAAGATAATAAAACGATTTTTATATGAGTGACATACGAAATACGAGGGATCTGTTAAAAGTTTTAAGCATAAAAATATTTGTTAAGTTTGATGAATAATGCTTTAAAATAAAACTTTGCAAATAATAAACTATTATATTTGTTAAAATTATGTGTAATAATATTTTTCATCAATTGACGTTATGATCAAATTTTTGTTTGTAAAATAAAATAAATAATTAGTCAT